AATTCCCTGGAGCTCAAGCAAAAGTTGGCTGACTTCTGGGAAGTCAAGGGAATGCCTCATTCGCCATCATGTACGACCACGGTCAAAGAAGTTTCTTCCAGGCGATCAGGCTGATCTTCCAGTGCCCTTGGAGAAACTTGATGATGTCAGAGTCACCATCTTTCGTGAGCCAGGACAATAACCTTCGGCGACCACCGACCACTTCAAGACCGAGAACGTGTTCAAGAAACACTCCAAAGAAGCCGCCAAAGGCCTACCTTCAAAGTGGGTTGGATGCACCATCTTCCAGATCAATGCCGTGACTCGCAAGGAACTTGGAATGACTGCAACCTTGTCTTCAAGCTCTCCCACTTCCATGAAGCCCATCCGAAAGGCCGCTCAGCACATGAAGAACCAGCAGCTCCGACACATCAAGAAAGAGAAAAGCAAGAGAAAAGAACCTCACACAAGCAGAACAACAGCTGTTCTTTGAGGCCAAGTGCAAAGAGCTTCGCAGCTTCTTCGAATGTGGCGTCTGGGAATTCACTACCTCAGACAAGGCTGATGCAGATCGAACCCTGTCAAGCCGAATGCTGCTGAAATGGGCGAAGAACCCTGATGGCACTCCCAGGGCTAAGGCCCGACTGGTTGTTCGTGGCTACAATGATGCTGACGCCTTAGCTGGCAACTTGGACACCCAATCGCCTACGGCATCCAGATTGGCTCGCAACTTGCTGCTCTCCATCTCTGCCATGTTGAGATGGAGCGGATGGTCCGCTGATGTGGCCACGACATTTCTTCAAGGACTACCTCAACAGAGGCAGCTATGGCTTCGACTTCCAAATGATTGCCTCCACATCCTCGGTTGCGGTCCTGAAACCCGCATGGCCTTGATCAAGCCTGTCTACGGCCAGTTGGACGCTCCTCGTCGTTGGTGGCAAGAAGCCACGAGAAGGCTGACACAGGAAGGGTGGACACCACATGACCTTGATCCATGTCTTTTTGTACTTCATCATCACCATGAAGATGGTTCCTCCGTTCCTTGTGGCATGATAGCACTCCATGTGGACGACATGCTTGGAGCTGGTGATCGCAGTTGTTCCACCTACATCGCAGCTGAACGACGCCTGAAGGAAGTTTTTGAGTTTAGAAGTTGGCAAGAAGACCATGAATCCATGGAGTACTGCGGCGTGATCCACAACCGCAAAGACTACACCTGGAACCTGTCACAAAGCCACTTCCTGCAAAAGGTGAAACCTGTAACTGTTCATCGAGGACGCGGCCCTGAAGACCCGATGAATGAACATGATCGAGGAGCTACGAGCCCTCCTCGGAAGCTTGCAGTGGCCCTCGGTCCAGTCACAACCACACCTACAGGCTAGCTGCAGTTTGATCAGTGGACAACAGCGCACTGGGAAACTTCGTGCAATCATGGAAGTAAATGCCCTCCTCAAGTTCGCCAAGGAACAAGCTGATGTGACCTTGAAGTATGAACCTTTTGAGTCTGTCAGCAACCACTCCGACCTCTCAAAGATCCGCCTGGTGGTGATGTTTGACGCATCTCATGCAGCTCTACACTCTCAAGGAGGACACCTGGCTATCCTGGTCCCTGAAGAGGTCTTTGAAAAGGAGACCCCATACCATGTGGTTGATTGGCGCAGCTACAAACTGCCCCGAGTCGCACGTTCCAGTTTGAGTGCAGAGGCTCAAGCAGCTGGTGGCGCCAGTGACAGTGCAGAATACATCTGCAGGTTCTGGTCAATCATTTTTGACCCAAAACCCAAGCTTCGTGAACGACTACAAGAAGGTTCAGCTCTACGACCTACCTTGGTCACCGATGCAAAAGCTCTCTATGATGCATGGCATAAAGAGACCACCACTTCCGCAAGTTCTTCAGTGGACAAGCGCACCTACCTCGAGATCAAGGTGGCCAAGCAGCAGACAACTGACCTTGAATTGAAGGTTGTCTCAAATGGGTCAGCAGCGAAGGACAATTCGCTGATGGTTTGACAAAGAGCTCTACAAGAAGCCTGTTGGCTGATCGCTTGAGGCGACACCGCATCAAGCTGGCCTGGGATCCTCAGTACACCTCGGCCAAGAAAAAGAGCAAACAAGAACGTGAAGAAAGTCGGCAAGAGTTCGCCGATGCAAAAGTGAAGAAGAAGACCAACATAAAACAACACAAACCACAACAACACCACTTCAACTCCACCGAACACCTTGAAAGTGTGCAGGAAGAACCGAGCTATGAGGATGAGAATGTCTTGCAGGATGAAGCCGCCGACACTGGACCTACATCATGGCCGAGTTCCAAGCCCTTGAGAACCCCAACGGCAATGATGATCTACTTCACACAGATCAAGGCTGTTACGGCAGAGCCCACAGGTGACTTCACGCAGTTGAAGCCAGATGGTCTTTGTTTGGCTGGCGATGAGCCTGCTGAGGAATGGTCCATTTTGACCTACATGTTCCTCTTCATCCTCTTCATCACCCTCATTGTGAGCTACCTGACCTACAAGCTGGGCAGATTTCATGAACACCGCCGACAGGTGAACGATGAAGGTCAAGTTGAGGGTGGCTCAAGCTCGAAATGAGCGACACTTTGACAGCGCGTTGGATGACCAATGCCTGTTCTTCGATCGCCGCATCTCCCAGCTGGAAAACGATTTGGTGAAAGCTGCTGAGGCCAATGCGGAAACCCACAGGCATCACAACGAGATGATGGAGCAATGGCGCCTAGAACAGCAAGAAGCCGAAGAAATCGACCAGTCCTTTCGACAACGTCAGGCTTTGCCGTCGCGCTGCTACCGGGAACTCCTGGACCATTTTGATGAAGATTGCCCTCTCACCACGGGCACCCATGTGACGCCCTTCGGTCACACCTTCCACGTCCGAGCTGATTGCCACGGCCTGAAGCAGGCTCACAGAGTTGATCGACGTCCTTGTTGCGCTTTTTGCAACCCTACTCCTCAGACTCCTCACCGAGTCAATGGCTTGAGCGGCACCACACTCCAGGAAGACATGATGTCCTGGAGGCGCGACTATGGCAACCTGCCATACGAGGAGTGGATGATCGACTGAGAGTCCAGCTGATGAGTTTTTTTGTTTCAAGCACCTTTTACCGGTGTGAAATTGCTGATGGCATTTCAAGCCACTTGTCAGTATGTGTGTTTCATATGTTTCATGATGTGGCCGACATGGCCCAAATATCCCCTTCCACCACTCGCGGTGGGTGATCGATCCTCGACGCCAATGGCCCCGTGAAAAGGGCGCGACTTCGAGAGCCGCCCGACTACAGTTCGTGTTCGGAAACTTCGTGCGTTTCGAGCTCCACTCGGTCCTGTGCTCCCCGCAACCAGTGTCCGAGTGACAATATTATTTTTTTGGATCTATAGACTATAGAAGGGACACAAAACTGCAAACATGCAAACAAACAAACTGTTTTGACCCATTCGCACTCTTGCGGCTAGCTGAATCTGTTTGAGCGATTGAGATTCCGTCGCAGTCTCACTGTCCAATACCGAAGCCACAAAGGCTAGACTGCAACTTTTGAGACCTGCACATTAGATGTTGTTAAAATGTGTTCGCATATCATTGAGGGGCCTGAGCAGGTTGTTACCTGCATCTGGAAGTGCTTGTTGTTCACTTGTGACTTTTGACTGATGCACCAAAAATAGCCGATCCACAGAACATGTCCGGCATTGTCCAACAACTGAACATCGAGCACTTTGGCTTGACATTGGCCAAGCATGGGTGAACTTCTTGCACCGCAAATAGATCTTAGCTGTTTGAGCTACGTACCTTGGGCTTCATACATACTTTTGGACAAGTTTCTCTGACAAAGCCCAGAGTGTTTCCTCCAGTTCCTTTGTTGAGAACTTGGGAGGATCCCTATGAAGTGCTTGTGGTCGGAAATACCTCAACTCACCCAGAATCAAGCAGCTTACTTGGTGCACTGTCCGTATGTACATTCAATGTCACGTGTTTGTTTAACTTTGCTAGTGAGAGTTGGTAAGGGGTCCCTTTAAGGGCAATTGAGGCCAAGACCTGGAGCCTTTGACCTTTACGGAGAAAGCGTTCTTGGCATTCTCGTGCATCCGGGGCAAGCATATTCTCAAACTCCTTTGTTTAGTTCTATATACTTCTTTTCTCTAGACTCCAGACTCTAGACCTTTGTGTCTGTATATGAATACTAAAATCAATGCCTGTCCGTCTTCCTTCCTTTGGCAAGGTGCTGCCCCCGGATGTTCTTGCTCTCGATATCTGGGGACGTTGCTAGGTATAGCTGAGTCACGGCACCTTGGCTGTGAAGAAGCTGATCTGAAACGTGAACCACCCGAAGAAAAACCACCAGCTACCTGACCTTCGTCATGCTTTATTGCTCTCTGTCTTTGACTCTTCCCCTCTCTAAGACCGGTGACTAGTGACTGAATGTGACTGAATGATACAGGATGTTTGTCCTGATTACTCTGACTAACTGTCTAGCACCTCGGGGAGATGTCATTAACACGCTCTCCTGCAGAATGTTGAAGGCAATGTTCCTTGCAAGGGAGGGCTGACGCCATTTGCACAAGAAGCTCGGAGGAAGGTGATACTGTTGATTGCAAGAATCAAGTCCAAACATCCAACGATTTCTTTCCTGTCAAGCCTCATCATTTCCCCCCAACTTGCCACGGAGTGCTTTTGCACCTTAGTTCAGCAGCCCAATTGTGCGTACATTGGTGTAACAACACTACACAATCATTGCAATCCGAGTCATTCAAGCAAACCAAAAGCAACATCTACTGCCAATACTCAAAGTCAACAGTCTGGATGACTGCACTGCAAGCAAGTCGAGCATTGCCTGAGCTTTTCGCGTGTCTTGCCAGATTTGTATGGATGCCCCCCCGGGTGGCAGACGTTGGCATAAACCTTTTTGTCTTCCAGCCGCCGGGCCAAAGCTCGTGTGAAGAGAACGTTGGCAAGCTTGGAACGCCCATAAGCTTTAAAGGGGCTGTAGACAGCCTTAGGCACAATAGGACTCAGTAGGCAGGTTCATGCAGGTTCACTGTGATTCCGCAAATCCACCAGTCCAATCGTCGCAGAAATGAATCATCGGGATTGCTGTTCCAAGCCGTTGGTTCAAGTTCTGTGAGAACAATTGAGAAAATGGCTGGCCTCGTAGTCGGCTCCAAGTCTGTCAAAGTCCACGGCTGGCGCTGCGTCAACCAGGCCAGTAAATCTGCAAGAGGGATTGCATTCTCATGGCACAGAAAATGCAGTGGCAAGAGGCCGTACAAAGTATTGTCATGCTCGTCTGCATCACTGACGTGCAGCTGAAGTCCAAACAAGGATAGGCCAAATCTGTGAGAAAAGCGAACCCAAATACATCCAAACAAGTTGCAAAAATATATTCAGGTCAGAACAAACTCAAAATGTCCCGGCCCCTTTGTCCCATCTCATCTTCAAATACCTGATCCCCACCATATCCAAGGCAACAACAAGGGGAATGAAGGGGCTGACCAGCAAACAACTAGCAACTGCATTATTGTAAGAAACAACAAGTGCTCCCTGTGTATGCTCTGAGCTGCTGGATTAACAGAAAGTCTTGAGGCCCATGGCCTACTTGAAGCAGCCGAGCATCTCAATGCTTTTCAGAGTTTCCGGGATGAAGGCTGCGGCAGAGCTCACAGTGACTATGCGAGAAGGTGCTGATGCCTGCAAACATGGGACAATGATGCACAACATGCAAAACGATGCAAAAAGGTTAGCTTTCACACGCACAAATAAACAGTAGCACAACATCCTTTTGCCCAACTGCCTCCAAATGTGGCAGAAGCAGCTTGGTCAGCAGAAAATGCCCAATGTGGTTAGTGCCAAACTGGCTTTCAAGACCATCGACGGTGAGTGTGAAGGGATTGGCCATCACCCCAGCATTGTTGAGCAAAATATGCCTGAGCATTGAGATCCATTGCGAAGGATGCATTTTCTGACAAACTATTACGACGCGCATACATGGGCATACAAAGTAACAGTAACATTTCCGTGGTACAAAGGCAAATTCCTGGCTCCAAATTGGTCTGCAAAGTCTTTGACGCTCTGCAAGCTGCCCAAATCAAGTTTCATGAACTCGGCCTCCAAGCTACCACGCTGTCGCAACAAATGCATGAAATGGGACAAACACAGAGTATCACATAGTGTCCCATATCCGTATGAGTTTATGAGTCTAGCACAGCATTCTCGGGTATACGCACAATATCAAATGTACGGTACTTTGTAGATAGGCGGGCTATTCTTGGAGACTGAAGTAGTACTGGTCTCCTTCCCCGCCCTCTGTACTAGCAGGATGCTACCCAAAAAACACCCCAAGTCTCAAGAATCAGCTCTTTCTCGACACAGCGCACTGCCAAGTGAATTGGATCCATGGGAGTAGCGTCACGGATGTGTGTGCGGTCCTTTTCTTGAGCCAAACGTTGTGGCGGTTTTTCGCCAAGTTGGTTGTGGGTCTCACGTGGTCCATGCGCTCTTGCCGACTCACGCTCCCCTTGCGATCTATGTCGCAACACGAAATCGGTCCTTGACCAAGAAAAAGCTGAATCCGCACCATTTGCCGTGCAGATTTGGCAAACCATCCTTGTGCCATTCGGCATCTACATAGATTAGCCGCTCAGAAAGCTTCATGGTGTTCTGGTTGAGCAGCCAAGCCACCGTCACCCTGAGGTACTCGAGATCCCTCATGTCTTCAGGAGTTGATCGATGCTCCGGGTGAAATCTCTGTACCCTCAAACTGTGCCGTCGGACCATCCACGTTTCCAGCGGCAGGCGAAGATAATCCCAAGCGTCCGTCCTTGGAACTGGTCGAAACCTCGTGGCTTCTTCATCCACCAGTCGCTGCACCTTGTCAAAGAGCTCCTGGTTCCACCAAAGCGATGGCTGAATCACCAAGGTGTCTCCCTCGTCTCCTACAGGTGGAACCAGCCGAGGCACCGGAGGCCAATGCGGCCGATCCCATGGTGAAGGATAAGCTCGGTGTGGGTCATCTTGAGGCCCTTCTGATGGATGCGGAAGAGGTCCAGGTTTTGGTGCCACCACCCAAGGAGGATATTCTTCTGGCCACGCCGATCCCACTCGAGCAGGTCGCTTGGACACCTCCTGGCCTGAGCACGAAGACGAACCCTTGGATGTAGTCCCCATAGCCGCTGCCCCCCGCGCCGCTGCTTTGCCCCCAGAGTCGCCCATCGGCCCCGGTGGCGGGCTTTTCCGTGGATAATACCCGGACTTCAAGCCCTCGATGGTTTCATTGACATGTTGCACATACTTCGGCAGCACAGGTGGAGGTTTCGGCCATGGACCAGACACCCCTTGCACATACTTCGGCAGCACCGGCGGAGACTTCACGGGCGGGCTTTCTTCCCGGACCGTTTTCGATCCCCTTTGCTGTCCAGTCGTTGTCGACGAAGAAGACGATGTAGCCCCACCCGGGTAGCCGGACTCCTCAACCTCGCTAGCCCGGCCAAAGCGCAGCTGCAGCCTTCCCCAAATGCCATGGCGAGCGCTCGCGGCTTCGAGTTCTACGATATTGGGAGCCTCTAGGCTACCGTTAGGGTCTTCCCACTTTTGAGACATCGAAGTCTCCGACCCTGGCGTGCGGCCCGACGCCTCTTCATTTCTGGCCTCTTGTTCTTTTCTTGGACTTTCTTCTTTTTCTTTTTCTTTTTCTTCTTGTTGTGACCTTTCTTGGTCTTTTTGTTCCCTTGCAAGCCCCGCTCGCAGGGTACACAACTTGGGTCGGGTCGCCACTCGGGATTCTCCCCCGGAACTGCTATTGTTGTACTGATTCTGGAAAACACGTGGTTTTGAATCCCCGGCGTTGACCCTCTTCCTACCAAAAACCCTAATCGCTTCAGCTGCTAAAGCCACGCTCAGAGAAGCCACCACCGCCACCTTGACGATTTGACTCGGCCACCCAGAGAAGGCGGCGCAGCTGGCTAGGCATAGAGCGACCTTAGCCAATCGCACTCCACCATCATTCTCGCCCTCCGGAACCTCAGCCTCCTGGTCGATGTCATTCTCCCCCAGGTCCACCATGCGAATGAACTTCCGGAAGCGTTGCCATGCTGTCTTCACGGCAATGGCCTTGGTGAGGAAGTCCGCAATCAACTTCGTCCCCTCCAAGTGGTAGATCTGCCAAGTTCCCAGCCGTGATCTTTCCCTCAAGGCGTGTGAACGCAATCGCAGATGGCGAGTTTGCCACGGACCATCAGGTTGTCGGATGATGGCGATTGCTGCCTGGCTATCCCCATAGGTGACCACTGCCGGCGGCTCCTCCACCCCCAACACCTCAGTCATCAAGGCCTGCAAGCTGTCACCCATCACGGACGATTCGATGTAGCCTAACAACTCGGCTTCCGCCGTCGACAATGCCATACAGCTTTGCCTTGAGGATTCCCATTGAACCACTCCACCACCAACCATGGCTATAATTTAATGCCTTGAACACTTTTTTCCCCTTGTGGAGCGTAAGACACGTCGCAGTAGATCTCCACCAGGTTCATGCTGCGTTCTCGAGCCAAGGCTTGGTCGGGTCCCCGATCCTGCTCTTTGCATTTTCCATAGGCCAAGAAGCACTCGTCAGTGGCGTTCAGGTACTCCAAGATGTAGTAGCCTGTCTGCAAAGCCCAACGTGGCCTTTTCGTCACTGCCCTCCCCAGTGCCCCAATAGCGAATGCCAGATCCGGTCGACTCCGCACCGCCACCCACAAAATCTCTCCAGCAATGGCCTGAGCCTGGCGAGCCTCCTCAATCTTGACGTCCTCCTCTTCCTCCACAAGGCTGTTCCTTCGGCAGCGGTGTGGACCTTTTGTTTGTGATCTTCCGGCGACGAAGTAGATCTTGTAGGTATGAGGGTTGTCCCACCAAGAGTTCCTCGCCCTGATACTTCATCTCGAAGCCACAAAAACGCACCCATTCTTCAGAATTCACCAACTCCGGCTTCGAAGTCTTCCATTCCTCTTGTATACGAGCCACCAACCCATCGTGAACAGCTTTGGCGCCCATCACCATTAGGTCGTCTACATAGACCAGCATCAGACCAACCGGAGCATCACACCCTTCCTGTAGGACCCGCCATAGGTTTCGTTCTTTTGTGGGTTGAAGCTTGTAGTTCACCCCCTCCACAACCCATTCAAACTTGTTGAACATGGCGTCCCGGTGTAGTGCCCAGAAGCTTGGTGACGTCTGGAACCCGTAGAGTGCTTTGTGGACTATCCACACTTCATTTTCCGGGCAGATGCCCAGTTGTGACATGATTTTGGGCGGAACCACCGCCACTGGAGCAGCGCCAGGAGCGGTAGGCCTTGGTGCCTGCAAAAAGGCACTTTTGACATCAAGCGCCGACATCATCCATCCTTCATGAGCAGCACGACGCACTGCGCATCTGATCAAAGTGCCGTCAGCTCCGCTGGCGTAACTTCCTGCTGGACCAGGTGCAGGGTCTGCCGTTGGTGATGTCATATTTCCGCATATAACGGCCCGCGCGCGATGCGCGCCACTTCCTCCCTTGCGCACGCACACCATTTTGCCAGGTACTAATTCAGCATGAGGAGGAAGGCTTTCACGAGGTACAGGATGTACGGCCTGCGTGTCTTTCACGAGGACATCGTATTCATACTGAAAAGCTGGAATCCAATCTTGAGGATGTGCTCGGACTTCATGAAGAGGCACCGTGACCGTTTGCAAGACATCAGAATCCTGAACTTGGAGGCTGCATAGATGGATGCGAGTGTCCCTTTCCACTCTACCCAATTGGATCAGGTTGTCCTCCAGTTCATCCCGCCATCCCACAAACAACTCCACCTCTTGTCCTTGTTGAGCCCCTTGTGAAGCATTACGAGGAACCCCATCCACCAAGTTGGACAATTGTTCTTGTAGTCGCATGTGGTGCCACTCCCACGTCTCCTTCACGAGCTCCATGGGCAACCACCTCCCAACACCATCTTCGTCACCGTAGGGCCCTTCAGCGGGAACTCCCACTGTCAAAGCCTTCACTCCCGAAGCTGATGCGGCTGTTGAGGACCTCGGGAACCTTTCTGGTGCATCCTCCCATAGTTTCGAGGTCGAACTTTTTGGCTCCTTCGATGAAGACGACGAAGAATACTCCCCCCCCGCTGAAGCCGGACCCGCAGCAGTGACCACCGCCGTAGTTTCCCCCAAGCGTGGAGTATTCCCTAAAGGCTGTTTGCCAGTCAATCTCCGGTGAGGTTGGCCAGGACGATCCTCTTCTTCTAGTTGAAGCTGCACCATGTCCCCTTGCACCCCTTGTTGAACGCGAAGCTGTTTACCTTCTTGGTTGGTTTGTACTGCTTCCCTCACATGAAGAACTCGACCATCTTGTAGTTGCACCACCCAACCGCCATTGACCAGGTGACTGGGACACAACACCCGTGCTTCCACAAACGGTGCAACAAGTCCTCCACCTTTGTGCCACTTTTTGATCTTGACCAACACCTTCCCTCGATAGGGCAACATAGGAAGGCAAGGCACCCCCAATTCCTCCAGCTGTCGACGACGACGTTCTGCCGCCACGTAGCGGATCGCGTCCGGCCATGAAGTTGCTTCGCAGCCATGTTCCGCCAGCTTGAGGCGCACTCTTCTTTTGATTTGGTGTACTTCAGATTCGGCATGTCCGTTTGAAGCCGGATCATCTCCTGCCGTAGTTGTAGGAACAATTCCATTTTTCGCACACCAAGCTGCCATCGATCGAGAGATCAACTCCTTGGCCCGGTCCGAATGTAGGCGATTGACATAGATCCCCATAGCTTTGAAGTGTGCCAACGCCTTCTGCATCGCCACCACCACTTCTTCCTTCGCCCGGGACACTATAGGTTCCACACGCACCACATGTTTCACTGGGACCTTTTTCAAGGAGTCTTGCAGTTCTTGATGAAAACGTTCTTCCTCTGGGGATTCTTCCTTCATGATGTCCAACTCCCCCGGTTCTGCATCATCCTCCTCCACAGGTGGTTGCCCCGGGTCTTCTTGAGGTTGGTCTTCATGTTGTTCTCCTTCCTGCTCTCCATTGTTTGTTTCCTTTCCTCCACCCAAATCCGGGACCAAAGCAACTGCTATCAGGGCAT